GACAGTAATTATAATCATGTAATAAATTCTCATATTTAAATACCGATAAACCATTGGTGGGATTTATCCCTTTAAGCCTAGAACCTATTATAATTATAAGTACCCCCCACGCTGGGTACAACAACAGAGAAAATTTTGATTAATGGAAAAGTCGATTTTCTTGCTCAAAGTAACAATATAGTATTTTTCCTGGCTGCTGTGATGGCGTTCTTTACTCGTGTGGCGTTGGCGTCCGAGCCGAAGGCGAGGACTGGCCAACCACAGGAGTAAAAAAAACCCCATCCCTGGGACAAGATTTTTTTGTAGTGATTTTCAAGTTTTCGAGATTGGGAAGTAGACAATACCAATTCCCAGATGAGAAATCGTGAGAAGCATTACAGAAAAAGTTTTTACAGAATATGTTGAAGAATCAGAATGGATTCTCACACCGTTCTATCCAAAAATAATGTTGTCCAAGGTTTGGTTGTTAAATTTTTTTTCAATGTTTGAATTTTTTCATTCGCTACGTTGGGATTCCAATCTGTATTTACAGGAAATGCAAAATTTTGTAATGAAAAAAATTGTTGAAAAATTGGACCAGTTTTCAAAAACAGAACTCAGAAAAAAATCATTTTTTGGATTGAACAGTGATTGAAAACTGTCACTTTGAATACAAAAAAGAAGAAATCTGGAATTGAGGAGAAGGAACGAGGTACAATGCCCGTTTTTCAACTTTTTTCACAATTTTAAGCCATTTCTGATATAATCAGTTGATTATAACCATACTCAATCGAAAGAACGCGAAATTTCTGTTGGCAATACATATTAAAAACTAAGAAAGTTGAAAAAATTATCCCTGCTGACATGAAAAATTTCGCCAAAAACAAAAAACCGTAATTTGACGGAGTGAGCTTGATACAATTTTAAACAATTTGAAAAAAACATTCAAGTCTTCTTGATGATGACAAAACCATATGAGAAACTTTAACCAAATCGAGAACATGAACACACATTGACTTTTTCCTATCACCAAGTATCAATCAGAAAACGCAGGATCTGCTTGATTTTTTTTCAATAAAATTAAAAAATTCAACTATTTCAATCGAAATTCAATGAAATTTTTTTGAGAAAATGCGAAATGTTGCTATTGAATATTTTTATATAATGTGGGTATGGAAAAACATTTCATAATCGATTAATTGCATGAAAAAGCAAAATAATTTTCATAGAGTTTTTGCCGAATTATTATTTTTCACATTCACCATTTGGGGCGCTCTTCATGAAACGCTCCCCACTACACTGACACTGCGGCCCTCACTACTACCCCCACTATCATCGTACTAGGACCCCTATAATTGGAAGCGCCATAAACTTTATGGGGTTCCTAATGCATCTTTATGATGTTACTCCGAGCTCCCCGGACTTTGCCCATTCCTAATTTAAAGCACAACATTCGAAGCAATCCCTCGCAAACACTACAGAGCAGTTACCCCTCTCCAGAAAATACAATTTCAATTAAATAAATGAGGAACATCGATTATTCTTTTCACAAGGAACCAGAATAAAATAGATAACAAAACTATAGAATCCCGTACACAAACACACATTTTAGTCATATTCTCACAAAAGTCAAGATAACCGGAAGGTTTCATTGGAGAAAGTTCAATTGGACAAAAGCTGAATTATACAAAAGTTCACTTTCCCAAAGTTGATTTAACCAGATTTTTTTGACAAATTTTTTTGACGGAGTTTTTTAGACGTGCTCCCTTATTTACATCGCGCTCTTGGCTCCGCCCCGTTCATACTACCAGAATACCTATCTCAGACAATTAATATTTCTAACATTTTTTCTCGACCCGCCTGTTCCGGAACCACTATTTATTCATTTTTCACCTAATTTATTAATCCAGTCAGCAATTTAGTGATTACTAACAAAGTCTGTGAACCGGGAAGGGTGAAATGTGGCCGGCTGCCGTGATCCTTATCGGGTTTGCTTTACATTTCCTGTCAGGTCCTGATGTGGAAACCTTAGGAGAACCGGATCTTTTCTATGGCACAGCGGACCAGGGCCTGACCAGTCAAGTCCTAAAATTTCTACTCGGGAACCTCAGGTTATTCAATGCGTATTTCTTAGTTTCTAGTTTAGTCGGTAAAATTAGTGATAACTTTATGATTATTAATCGACTGATCAAGAACCTAAGAAACACACATTGAATAACCTAAAGTTAGCCACGCAAAGAAAAAGCTTGATTTTTCAAATGCTGAAAAGTTACAAAAGGAAATCAGGAAATCATTACCCACATAGAACACATGAGGTCTATACGACCTTTTCTCTACGATTGTTGTAAAAAGGTTCACCAACTGGTCGTAGGTTGGCCAATTGAGGCAGAGACTTATGCGGCCACGGTTCATGAACATGCTATCGTTTTTGCTGGATTCGGAACACATTGACGTATCTTACTTCGCAGCCGGTATTGCTGCTCATTTACTCAGTGATGGTACACATGCTTGGGAAAATTGGACGACAGCGCCGACAGTTCCGAATAGACAACAATTGCTGGAGCAATTGGGAAAGGCCGTAACTAATTGGCAAACACCACAGGGTGAGATGGTAGCTTACAGGAGTTTTCAACCATTCTTTCCACTCTTGCGATGCAGTGAGGCTTATCCAGTACAATTGTGGGCTGTATGGGCTATTCATCATGTCTGCACGAAGAACCGTAAGAATTTTAGTTTTATTTAAATTCATTATCTTGAAATTGATCGGAATTAGATGTTAATGAAATTCACCAACTGTCCACAAAGGGATGTGAAGTTATTGACACGCGAATTTTTGATTGATCTTCTATCGACTCGTCACTACCAAATTATTGGAAAAAGCGCATCCATTTTTCTCATTTTTTATGTTTTCTATCTATCTATAAAAAAAAAGAAATGTTTATATATGCAGGGCGTCTTACTACTAAACGCACATATGGCGATGGTAACTCGGGAGGAGGAGGGGGAAGAGGTATTTGAAATTTTAAAGAAGTTCTTTGGTCTTTGTTAATGAGCTATTAATTAAGACAGGACAGCTCATTGAAAAATTCTCCCCGTTATAAAAAGTATATCCCCTCTTCCATTTGTTAGGGGGGATGTATGTAAGCACTAGATGTATAATCGATTCCAATCAATTTCATGCCATTATCTCAAATGCGAGAGAAGGTATAATTTATTACGTGAACGATGATTTTCCGGGTTACAGCAAGGAACAACAATTTTCCCATATCTATTTTACATTGAATCCCTAATCGTTTGTCAGCATTTTCATTCTTCTATCTTAAGTGAAAGAGGCGATATTCATTTTCAACAGAGGCGGTGCTCTTTGATAGCCTGTACGCAATACCCCCTCCAGTGGATATGAAAAGTGCGGCAAGATTTTATCATTGAAACTTATGTTTTCGGGAGTGAGGAATCCAAATTTTGGTGTTTGTATGATTCCAGTGAATAATAATTTGTTATCAATAATTTCATCTCAATTTCTCACAAATAATTGATTTTTCATGCACGGGATGGAACATATCGAAAAATGTTTCAGATGAAAGTGGTTCGTTTTTTTTGTAGAAACAAAACAGTTTTTGGTTTATTAAAATCGATCCAATGGTTTGCGCGCTACCCACCAATTAGTGCGCATTCTTAATGAACCAATGATTTTTTATGAAAAATTATCAACATTCAGCATCATTGACCTTGAATATGTGTGAAAACATCTTTCATTGTACTTCATTTCCTTCAATTCGAACATGCGAAAAAATGAATTCTTCGACCGCTAGTCACTGTTTGTTCATTTTCATGAGTTCCAAAAGTATGTACCCGAATCATTCTGAGTTAGCGGTTATGTGATATCACCAATATTCACTTGAATTTCTCGTTGCGAGAATATTCAGCATAGCTCACGATTGAGGAGTTGTCAAGGGGAGATACTATGAGTTTAACAACTCGTTGGAGTGAGATTTCCCATGCATTGAAAATCGATTATACATATCTAAAAACGAATAATTAATGTAAAAAAAATGATAGTTTATTAATCGTTCGCTTCACAAGGGCGCTTAAAATGTTAAAAAAAGTCCCGGGCCTGCAAGTTTTGAGCTGCAATGGTTTTTTTTCACAATTAAAAAAAAATGTGGACAATAACATCTACGAATTAGTTTTTTGAAATTCGACTCCTACACAGCTAATTTCGTTTTGTTTAATATAAAAATTTGCGCCATTCTAATTTGTAATTGTTAATGCACAAATTTTTCCAAAAATTAAAAAAAAAACTTTTGCAGTTCCAAACTTGGAGGCACGGGAATATTTTCAACATTTTAAGCGTATGCGGGCAAACGGACAATAAACCATTTATTTTTTTGCACTAATTTCGTTTATAGACATATATAATCGGTCTTCAAGGCATGAGAAATCTCATTCCAATAGCCCGCGAATTTTAAAATTCATAGTGGTTTCCCTCAAATCGAATAAAATGGGTAAAACTTCCCAATATTCATTGTAACGTAACATCTTTCTATAGGGATTGAAATGTCCATCACCTTCGCCCTCCTTCCGCTAAATGTAATCAAACTAAAAAAGAAATTATCAAATCGAAAACGTCTGAAAACTCGAGTCCGAATAATCAGAAAACTAAACCATCAAAGAAAAAATTAGAGAAACTAGATTGTCGAGGAAAGGTCACGGTTCACAACCTAGCACAGTCTCTGTCTCTGTCTCTGTCTCTCTCTCTGTCTCTCTGTCTGTCTGTCTGTCTGTCTCTCTCTCTCTCTCTCTCTCTCT